AAGAGACTTTTCTCTCTCAGGAACCATGCGCAGGCCGCGTGGGATGACAACCCAAACGTGGAAAAACCTGACTGAGGCAAACTTGCTTGCGTAGAGGAATATGACCATGGCCGCGGCAGTGAACTTTGCCTACTATCAATCTGAAATACTATTTCTAACGGTCAGATACAAATCTGGGTTAAGCTGTTGTTTACGCTTTGTTGACGATGACAGAACGACATCAACGACTTTACACTCTATGTGCTCTATTTTGATGGATCATTATGAATGCTATCCAGCTTGAAGACCTTCTAGATTTTTCTCCAGCAGATCATTTCCATTGCCAAAAGCATGTTTTCTCCACTTTTTCCTAAGGTTCATGTTTCTGAGCTATGCATGATCACTGACAGAATAAACGATACCTTGTTCTTCATGTGCATTCTTGGAAATGCAAACGTTACCCAACCGTCCCATTCTGGCAAAACCTAAACTTAGGCGTCATTCTGCATTACGGGACCCACTTCCTTTCTTTGATATTAGTCTACTGAAGTACACCGTAATTCCGAAGCCTGCATCAGCAGTAGTCCGTCTGCAATGATCTTAACAACTTTCTTTTCTTTGCCAGCTGTCATGACATTGGTTTACTTAACCGTAACTTTCAATCTTCACTTCAAGGAGCGCAGCAGAAATTTTGACATTTCTTTGAATGGATCTTCCTACAGCAGTCGTGAAAGTCGCGTCTGTGCTGTGAGGCACTAATGCAAAAATGACAGCACATTAGGTTAGGAGAGCCAGACAAAAGCATTCCATCAATCAGAAGGAATGTTCTCTCTGGAGTCGGCAGCTTACGTTATATGCATTTCAGGCTAAGGTATAAATCGTGTTTTCTCTAAAGAGTGGATCCATGAAACCGAAAAAACTTTTTAAATTCAGTGGTAGAGTGGAGCAGAAATTCGCCAAATCATATCCTCAATATACGTCATCGAGTGAAACATTGACAATACACAAAAAAACAAACTCTTAAAAGAAAAAATTTCGTTCATTGTAGAGCGCATGGTGATACTGATATAATTCGGGCTGAAATATACTAGAATGGCAGAATGGCAGTCGTATCTTGGGTTTTGGCATGACAACCAAATCAATACCTGAATGCTTTATCACAATTGGAACCGCCTGTGGAACAGTGTGGCACAATGACTAAAAGGTCGGCTTCGAACGTCAGAGGTGCGGGTTTCGATTCTGGTGGAGGAGTAATCTTTGTCTTCATCACAATTTCCTTGAACAAGGAATTTACCACAAGTTGCATCAAACCGAGGTTGATCAATTGATAGAGCGTCGAACTCAGATCAGAGAAGTCCTGGGATTGAGCAGGTAAAGTCACCTGCCTCAACTGATAAACGAATACTACTTTGTGGGAAGAAAAGACATAGCACAAGCTATGCTGGCCACAAATTGCTGTCGACTTTGCCTTTAAAATAACGCACCGTTGCTGATAGCACGTCAGTGGAGAGTAGTCCTCCACCATTAACTTAATGAAAAGGTGCCAAAATTTGGCCCAGAATG